GCCCCGAGGAAGACCCAGGACACGTTGGAGGGACTATGTCTTACGGCTGGCCTGGGAAGGCCTTGGGGTTCTCCCGGAGGAGCTAGAAGAAGTGGCTGGGGAGAGGGAGGTCTGGGCCTCCCTTCTGAAGCTGCTGCCCCCGCGACCCGACCCCGGATAGGCGGAAGAAAATGGATGGATGGATGGATATATAAAAACTGTTGTATTAAAGGTTCATGTGTTGGGTAGACGTGTTGTTACAGGTTATTGTAAATTGAAAAAATTGTACCAAACGTCACCGTTTTGTCACTGAAGCAATGCATTCTGGGAATGATGATGATGATGGGTTACAGTTGAGATTAAAACACAAAGATTCGAAGCTAACGAGTTTTAACGTGTGACAATAAAAGTTATATTTCGTAACAGTTTATATGATCTACTACATAATATGTGTGTTGAAATAATGTGACGTTTAGTACATTAGCTCTGGAGCTAATGCCACATTTATATTACTAATTTAATGTAGGGTTAGCTTCTCAAGCTAATTAGCATCTGGATATATTGCCATATTAAAAAATGTAATGGTTGCAGCTAATGTGTTAGCTTACAAGCTAATTATTAGCTCTAGAGATATCACCATATTACTAATGGAAATGTCAAATTATCTACTGAGCTAATGCCGTATATGTGACATTAGCTTCCAAGCTAATTTTATTAGCTAAGGAGCTAATGTCATATTATTTTTGATGGGTTAGCTCACAAGCTAATTATTAGCTCTGGAGATATTGCAATATTACTAACAAAAATGTCACATTATCTACCGAGCTAATGCTGTATGAGTGGCGTTAGCTCACAAGCTAATTTTATTAGCTCAGACGCTAATGTCATTATTTTTGATGTTTTAGCTCACAAGCTAATTCTGGAGATATCGCCATATTATTAATGAAAATGTCATGTTATTTACTGATAATGTGCGGCGTTAGTTCCCAAGCACAACTAGTTAGAGTTCCCTTTAAAAAAGGACCGTATTTATTAAGATGAATCAGTTTTTGAGGCCCACCTTTGGGTAGGGGTACTCTTTCCCTTTGGGGTACAGAGATCCCGTGAAGCGAGGCAGGATCATGTTGGGAACCAGGGAGTCGTTGATGGTCAGGTAGGCCAGTCTGGAGCCGTCCGGAGACCACCAGTGGGCCACCTGGGTGTGCAGCACCTCCTCTGTAACACATCGACCCTATCAGCCTCTCAGAACCAGGTGGAGGTCTTGTACAGACCCTTGGGTCTCTCACCCTCATACAGCCAGTCTGAGATCCCGTTGAAGACCACGCCCTCCTGTCCTGAAGACGTCAGCCTCCAGGAGCTGCTCTGAACGTCTGTCTGGTAGTAGATGTTGTTTTCAAAGATGTAGATCTGTGGAGCAGAAACACGTTCTGGTTCTGACCTTGAATCAAACATTTTCTCTCCTCCTTCACTTTGTTTATTATCTGCTGATTGTTCTGTTTATTCTGTAAATAATGAAAAGTCCTGATTACGAAAAGAAAAATCAAAACGTCTGAGTTGAATTTTCCCCTCATATTGTCTGAATATTTGTTATTTTTAAAGTGTTTTTAATTCCATGTTGGGATTAAATATTTATACTTTTTATCCACAGCTGGTGAATTTGACACTTTGAGGTTTCATCCATTTTATTCATGAGTTGTTTTCATTTCCTCAGGATGGAGCTGATTCTGAATATTTGATCTGATCTGAGTGTTTTTCACAATGAGGTTTAAAACCAGGCCTTCCAGGAAGTCCACTTTCAATTTGAATATTTTATATAAATAAACCTGTTTTAATACGAACAGGACAGGTCTGAAACCAGAGCTGAGATACAAAGATTTATTAACCTTATACTGATGGTCAGGTCCAAGACCATCCAACCATCGTCCAACCATCATCCAACCATCGTCCAACCATCCAACTATTCAACCAYCGTCCAATCTTTTAACTATTCAACCATCGTCCAACCATTTAACCATCCAACCATCATCCAACCAATCAGCCAACCATTTAACAACCAGCCATCAATCATTCAAAGAACCAACCATTTAACCATCCAACCATCATCCAACCATCGTCCAACCATCGTCCAACCATCATCCAACCACCATCCAACCATCGTCCAACCATCCAACCATCGTCCAGCCATCATCCAACCATCGTCCAACCATCCAACCATTTAACCATCCAACCATTGTCCAACCATCATCCAACCATCGTCCAACCATCCAACCATTTAACCATCCAACTATCGTCCAACCATCATCCAACCATCCAACCATTTAACCATTCAAACATCGTCCAACCATCATCCAACCATCATCCAACCTTTTAACTATCCAACCATCGTCCAACCGTTCAACTATCCAACCATCATCCAACCAATCATCCAACCATTTAAAAACCAACCATCAATCTTTCAAAGAACCAACCATCGTCCAACCATCCAACCACTTAACCATTCAACCATCGTCCAATCTTTTAACTATCCAACCATCGTCCAACCATTTAACCATCCAACCATCATCCAACCAATCATCCAACCATTTAACAACCAACCATCAATCATTCAAAGAACCAACCATCGTCCAACCATCCAACCATTTAACCATTCAACCATCGTCCAACCATCCAACCATTTAACCATTATCCAACCATTCATCCAACCATCGTCAAACCTTTTAACAATCCAACCATCGTCCAACCGTTTAACCATCCAACCATAATCCAACCAATCATTCAAAGAACCAACCATCCATCCATCATTCATCCAACCAACCATCCATCCATCATTCAACCATCCATCAATCAACCAATGAATCATCCATCCATCCAACCAACCATCCATCCATCATTCAACCAACCAACCATCCATCCATCCATCCATCCATCCATCCATCATTCAACCAACCATCCATCCATCATTCATCCATCCATCCATCCATCATCCAATTCCATCAATCATTCATTCAACGAATCAACAATCTATCTAAGATCGTTCAAGAAACCAACCATTCATCCAACCATTAATCAACCAACCAACCATCCAACCAACCATCCATCCAACCATCAATCAATCAATCAATCAATCAATCAACCATCCATCCATCCATCATTCAGCCAACCATCCATCCATCCACCATTCAACCTACCAACCATCCATCTATCCAACCTTCAGTCATTTAATCAACCAACCAACCATCCATCCAACCATTCAACTAACCATCCATCCATCCAACCAACCATCCATTCAACCAACCATCCATCAATCATTCATTCAACCAACCATCCAACCATTGTCCAACCATTCAACCAACCAACCATACATCCATTAACCATACATCTATCAATCCATCCATTAGATCTACATACCAGCTGCTGACCCTGAACGCCCCACGAGGCGAACTGTAGAACCGAGTCTGACACCTCAGGAGGATTAAGCTCCCGCACCTCTCTGTTAACACAAACATGTCACTCTTAAAACAGGAGTTTAAATAAAACAAACATATGATCAGTTAACTTTGGGATTTCAGGTTTATATGAAATCTTGACACAAATGTGACCTTTAATTAACCAGTAAATACAAGAAGTTGTCAGAAAAGGTTTTCCCACCTTGTATACAGGTTGTAGATGAGATATGAAGCCAGGAAAGAATGCTTGTAAACCTAAAACCCAACCGCACAAAAAACATTAAATATGCACTACAGAGAGAGCATTTCAAAATAAAACAGGAAACAATCAAGAAGTCTTTAACATTTATTACACACAAGTATCTGACACTTTAACATCCATCCATCCATCCATCCATCCATCCATCCATCCATCCATCCATCCTCTTCCTCTCGTTCCAGAGTCAGTCTTCTTCACACTAAAATAAAAAGCTGCGTGCATTCAGACTAATGGACTAAATACCAACAAAGAGCCCGTTTTATTACCCAGAATCCTCAGCTCACAGAGCTGTTTCATGATTTACAAAGCTCATTATGTTTGAGTCCATTCTCATGCTGATGACTACACATTAAAACAGGTGGATTTAAAAGAACCATAAATATTTTTTTCTATTATGTGTTTTCTTTTTTTTCCTTCTGTTTGATTTTTCTGGTCTAAAAAAACAGCTGAACTCTGTCCTCTGAGGTTAATTTACTGTAAAACCACAAAACAAGGTAGTTTTGTTTTCAATTATCACTCCTCTGTGAAACAGGAACAATAAAATCTTAATGGTTGTTTTAGTTTGGCTCTCAGCTGAAGAACTGTTGACCAAAGGTTTATTTTCAGACTCAGTATCTGCTTCCCTCAGTAAATGTTGGGACTTTTCCCGGCTGAACTGGTCCTCCCTCGTCTCCAGAAAGAAAGAAAAAATCAAATATTGTGATTTAACAGCCGTGGACTGGTTGAAAGAAGACGTCAGCATCATTCAGCGGGCGTCCTCGTTCGCTGACAGCTCTGTGATGACTTCTTGATAAAGCTGTCAGTTCAGGAAGACACACGAGACGTGAGCGTGTTTAAAGAAACGGCTGAACGTGATGTGAGCTTCATGGTTGGAATAAACACTTCCTCCTTCAGGTTGGTTAGAAAAACCTCTTCTTAGATAAACGTTCAGCAATATAACAGAAAATTATTCATCAAATGAAAACTCAAATGTGATGATTTTTTTTTTTTACAGTTTGTATTTTGTTGATAAGAAGCCCGTATTACCTGGGCCCAGAGCAGAACCAGAACCGTATCTGTTCTGGTTCTGATGCTGCCATGATTATGATGAATTCACGAGTCGTCTGGCGGCCCGGCACCATCGCTCTCAATGGATCCAGGTTGACACCGTGATGATGAACACGTCGTCTTCGTCGAGCTGGAGCTGAAGCTCCGGGCCCGTCAAGAGCACGGTTCTTATCATCAGGCCCGCTCCGTTTACGACACTGAAATGTTCCTCAGATCTGGACTAACGGAGCAGCGGAGCCTGGTTCTACGGGTTGGTGTGGCTTTGTGACTGGTTTTATTCAGACAATGATTTGATTTGAGTTCATGTGAAGCGTCACGATGAAGCAGTTCGTTAACCACCTCATATCAGGATACAGCTAACAAACACAGCTAACAAACACAGCTAACGAACACAGCTAACAAACACAGCTAACGAACACAGCTAAAGAACATAGCTAACAAACACAGCTAACGAACACAGCTAACGAACA